TCCAACTTTGCTCATCTTTTCAAAATTGTTTTAAGTATTCATAATCCCTTGAAGTTCTGTGTGAATTTTAGAATCAGCTTGTCTGTTTCTGCAAAATAAATTTGCAGAATTTTGATAGGGATGGTACTAGAATTTTGGTACACTAGACGGTACACTAGAATTTTGATAGGGATGGTACTAAATCTATAGATAAATTTGGGTATTAGTCACAGCACATTAAGTCTTCCATTCCAGTAATACAGGATATCTTTCCACTAAGTTTCTAAAGTGTTTTATAGTTTTTAATGTAAAACTTTTGTATTTCTTTGGTAAAATTTATTCCTAGGTATTTTTTCCCATGCTATTGTAAATAGAATGTTTTTCTTAATTTTATGTTTGGATTGTTCATTGCAAGTATATAGCAATACACATGATTTTTGGTTCACCTTGTATCTTATAACTTTGCTGAGCTTATTTATTGGGTCTAATAGTATATTATTTATTCGATCTAATAATTTTACTTTAGTTTCTAACATATATAAAATCATGTCTTCTCCAAATAGGAATAGTTTCACTTCTTCATTTCTAATCTAGTAATTTCTAAGGATACCTTTTATTAATTTTTCTTGCCTAATGTCTTTGCTAGACCTTCAGTACAATGTTAAATAGAAGTGTCAGGAGTGGACATCCTTCTCTTGTTTCTGATGTTAGGGGAAAGGGTTTCGTCTCTTGCCAAGAATATGATGTTAGCACAGATGCCCCTTATCAGATTGTTTAAGGATGTTGCTTTCTATTTTTAGTTTGTTGAGTATTTTTATCAAGAAAGTATGTTTGATCTTGTCACTTTTTTTTTTTTTTTGCATATTGAGATGGTCATGTGGGTTTTTTCCTTTTTGTTTTTAACATGGTGTATTAAATGGATTGCTTTTTGTATGTTGAACCATCTTGGCATTCCTGAGATAAATTCCACATGGTCCTTAGTGCATAATCCTTTTAAAATGCTGTTGGATTCTCTTTGTGGCTATTTTATTGAAGAACTTTGCATCTATATTTATAAGGCACATTGTTTTGTACTTATATTGTCTTTATCTGGCTTTGGATTAATATAACACTGTTACTCAATCTTTCATGTTATCAGACTGAAGATAACTATTAAATTTTTCATCATCTTCTTATTCCCAATGCCTAGCAGTCTGGCACTTAGTAATTGTGTAAATTAAATATGATGCTTACTGAGAAAATTTGGTAGAAAATAATGACATCTGGGAAAATTTTAGGTCATCAGTAACCAAATATTCATAGTACTTGGAGAGTCTACATTTTCTACCTTGATTTACAATGAATATTACTGAATATCTCCTATCATTTAAAAACTATGAAGTACGTATTAAATATAATAGTAAAAATTTTAGTTCAGATCGTTAAATAATTATAGAAACCCATTATGTCAGTGATGAGAATTTCAGAATAATCCAGCAAGCGTTTGTTGATGGCTGGTATGTTCTCAGATACTATACAAAGCACTGAATTGATATTCCTTCTGTATAGAAGATATAGCCATGGATAAAATGTTCATTGTCATTTAATATATAATGTCATAGAACATTTTGATTACTTATATCTCTAAGAAAATACCTTTTTATATGAATTACTCAGTACATTGTACTCTGTGCTTTTTTAAGCACATTAGTACTTTTTTAAATTAATGATTTATGTCATTATTTAGGACTGTAGTTACTGAATTATTAAATTTGATTATTGAAATGGTTCATCATCATCTTTATTTTTTAATGTTTTATTTATTTTTGAGAGGGAGAGAGAGACAGCATGAGTAGAGGAGGATCAGAGAGAGAGGGAGACAGAGAATCTGAAGACAGTCTCCAGGCTCTGAGCTGGCCGTCAGCACAGAGCCCGACGCGGAGCTCGAACCCATGAACCGTGAGATCATGACCTGAGCTTTAGTTGGACGCTTAACTGACTGAGCCACCCAGGTGCCCCATCATCACCTTTAATTTGTAGTTAATCAGGTGAAAGTAGAACACCTCAGTTTTATTTAGTGGATCTAGGTTTGTTTGCTTTGCTCAGACTAATTAACTGTGAGGCTTTTGGACCTTTTTGGTTCTCAAGTTTCCTAGATTAGTTAATAATAGGTAATGTTGAGAGAGAAAAAAAGTAAATTAGTATTTGATTAGTTAAGTTTGGAAAATGCTGGTTTTGGTAAAGTTCAATATATTTCCTTCTGGGTTTGCCCAAAATTTAATATATTTATATATGCTGTTCATGTCTATAGTTTGACCATAGTTGCCTATTTTTGTATGAGCTTCTCCTAAATCACTGGCCAGCCTGAAGGTAGAACATACGCATCCCAAGAATTGCCTGAGGTGATCCACTATGATATGGAAAGAAGATGTCAGAATATCTATTACTATTTACATTTTTTAATCTTGAAAAGTAAGAGAAGATCTGTGTTAATATTTAGCACATGGATTGATGCCTTTGGCCTCCCTAAGTCCTTGTATGAAACGGTCACATATTATTTGTGAGATAACCTGACATGAGTGGGAGATCCAAAGTGATGAGGTGGTAGCAATACTATCATTTATTTGCTTGTTTTTAGTGTAAAGAGTGCATCACTTGCTTAACCAGGTAATTGGACTGTTATGTTATTTAGTGTTTAGTAAAACAACTCTCAATAGAAGTGGAAAAATTACTTCAGAAAGATTGCTGCCCTGAGCCATAGATTGATAATCAAACCAACAAAAATCTATGTTTATAACAAGTGCCTCTGGTGATTCTTTGTGTTTAGGCAGTTTTGGGAAAGAGTGATTTAGTCACACTAAGGTATATAAAGGGATGTACCAGAAAGGGAAATTAGATGTTAATAATTAAAGAGAACCTGTTAAGTCAGTAAGGTATAATAAATGAGGGTAGCAGTAAATGGACAAAAATGATTGGCATTATCTTTTATTCTAAATATAGTTGAAGTTTAATTTCTCTCAGAGTCCATTGGGGTGATGATGCAGTCAGTCATTCAGGGTTTCAAGCTGGCAGGGGATGTGCCATCTACGGAAGCTGGTTTTCATGGTCATCTTGGGCATTCACATCTAGCAGTCACGTAGGGGATGAAAGGCAGGGTGTGGAAGATGTGTGGGAGGTTTTTGTGATTCAAACCTGAAATGCTGTATATCACTTCTCCCAACATGATATTTTTAAAATAAATCCCACTTGGTTGACATGTGTTATTCTATTTATGTATTGCTAGACTCAATTAGCTAATATACTTTGTTGACAATTTGTTTCTGTATTTATAACAGAATGGTTCATTCTTTTCTTTTAAATATTTTTGCAGAGTTTAGTATAAGGGATATACTGTCTTAATAAAATATGTGGGGAAGTATTCCTTCATTTCCTATTCTCTGGAAGAGTTTGTGTAAGATTTCTGTTACTTATTTCTTTTTCAATTTTTTTATTAAAAATTTTTTCTTATTGTTTATTTATTTTTGTGAGAGAGAGAGAGACAGAGTGTGAGCAGGGGAAGGGCAGAGAGAGGAAGACACAGAATCTGAAGCAGGCTCTGAACCATCAGCACAGAGCCCAGTGCAGGGCTGGAACCCATGAACCACGAGATCATGACCTGAGCCGAAAAAGTCAGATTCAACCTATGGAGCCACTAGGTGTCCCCTGTTACTTCTTTCTTAAATGTTTATTAAAATCACCTGTTAAGTCATCTAGGCTTAGAAATTCCTTGGTCAGAAGTTTTTTGTTTGTTTTTTCATTAATGCAGCTTCAGTTTCTCTTGTCTGTATGTAGGACTATTCAGACTTTTTATTTCATCTTTTTAAAAATTTTGATGTGCTTTTTCCTAGGAGATTTTAAATTTTATCTGAAATTTCATTTTTTGATATATTGCATAGTATCTTAATTTTTTTAAAGAAATATCTGTGGGTTAATGTAACATCCTAATTCATGTATGATGTTGGAAATTTGCATTTTTAATTTTTCTCAATTTTATTTTTATCATCAAATTGCATTTCCTTTTTTTTTTTCTTACTTTGGATTATTTTTTTAAAGGTTCTTTTGTTACATGGCTGTTTAATCTTTTTAATCTGTCCCATTTTTTTTTAAATGTTGTTTTAATTTTTTGTTTTTTGTTTTGTTTGTGTTTTCTGTAGTTTTTTTTTTCCCCTCTTTTTATTATAGTCTCTTTTTTCTCCCCATTATCTTTTGGTTGTCTAATCCTCCTTTCTGCTGTATTTCATTTACTGTTTACCTCATCTGTTGAGTTACTAATAGTGCATATTTCTCAGCTGTAAAATTTCTATTTCATGAATTCTAGTTCTGTGATGAAAATCTGTATCCTATAAATTTCTTTATTTCTCCTCTACTTTCCTGAACCTATGAGTTGTACATTTTTTCAAGTCTTTGACAGCTAATATATAAATCGCCCATGGGCCTACTCCTTTTGTCTTTTCTGTTTCCTGTTTTTGGTCTCATCTGCTGACATCACTGATACTTACGTTTTGAAAGCTATACAGTGTTTGAAAAATTAGAAAGTCTTTGTAGGATGTTAACATTCTCCAAAGAGAGTTCATCCTTTCCTTCCCTAAGAAGGTAGAATGGGGAGGTGATCACCGTAATTGTTATGCATTAAACTACTGGCATGCATATATTACTAGAGAAGTAGTAAAAAATACGTAGAAGCCCAGGCTCATTGAAGTAACATGGGCCTTCTTGTCTCTTTGAGTCAAGTCCAGAATTGCCAAATGTCCCAAGAGACACCACCACTGCCTTATGTTTTCTCATTTCTGAGTATGATTTTCCTCTCTCAGTTATTGTTTTGCTTTAATTTTTCATTGTTTCAGTCCTCCCTAATGCTTTTAACAGAACTTTGTTTTTTCTCTTTCCTTTTAGCCTTTGATGTACCACAAACCACTCAGTCATTCATGAATGCACAAATCAGTGATTTTGTTTTGTAAACAGAAGAACAAATCATGATTTATTTTTTTGTTTTTGTTTTTCAGGAAAAACATAAACAAGAATTGGAAGACATGAGGAAAGCTGGTCATGAAGCTCTGAGTATCATTGTGGATGAATATAAGGTAGAGATTTGGGAGTCTGTTTTCTTTTTTAAACTTTAGCATACTTTCATAAAACTTATACACATAGGCATATGAAAACTTACACAAATTACAGAATTACAGTGGTCTTATTTTGATATAGTATTCTTTTCAGTTGTCTGATGTGTTTATTGAAAACATACTTAGTAGATTACAGAGGTAATGCTAGATGTTGCTCTGTGTTTGAGAAGTTACGGATTTTTTTTTTTTTTTTGAGGGAGAGACTGAGTGTGAGTGGGGAGGAGGGACAGAGAGAGAGAGAAGAAAACATAGAATCTGAAACAGGCTCCAGGCTCTGAGCTGTCAGCAGAGAGCCCTGTGTGGGGCTCCAACTCACTATGTGAAATCATTACCTGAGCTGAAGTCAGACATTCAACGTACTGAAACACCCAGGTGCCCTGAGAAGTTGTGGAATTTTTAAGAATTCAGAATCTGAAGCTGAAGAAGTTCAGGAACAAAATACTGTAGAATTCATTGCTAGATTAGATTTTTTCTTTACTCTGGTGCTACATCTTTTAGAAAAAAAAGGCAGGATACAAATCTGCGAAATATTATGGGTGAAGGGGATTAAGAAAAAAATATATTGTGGGGAGCCTGGGTGGATCAGTCGGTTAGGTAGATGACTCTTCATCTCAGCTCAAGTCATGATTTTATGGTTCGTGAGGTGAAGCCCCATTTTGGGCTCTGCACTGACAGTGCAGAGTCTGCTTCGGATTCTCTCTCTCCTTCGTTCCCTGCCCCTTCCTGCTCTTTCTCTCAAAATAAATAAACTTAAATATTGTTGTGAATATTGTTCCGGAAATCATGATAATGTCAGCATCAGGGACATATACAGTATTATTCTTTGATTCTGTGTCTGCACAAGAATGTAAATTTGCCTCCTAGTTCACTTTGTGTCATGAGCTAATACTGTGAACCTATTTTCTCTTGTTGGTGTTATAATACCTGATCAAAGGAAATCTTTTTCCCCCTAATTTTCATGTTATATCATGAAGAATATGTTCTTGTTGAAATCAAACTCAAACAATTCTCCCCAGACGTAGCCACTGTTAGTGTTTGATGTGTATCCTTCTAAAGGTTTTACTCCATTTTTGCATATGTATATGTGCTAATATCATGTTATGTAATTTTGATTTGTTTTTACATAAAATATTATTCCACTTAGTCTATTTTTTTGCTTCTGTGTTTATTCATTATGACTTAGAGATATTTTAGTATCAGTATGTATCAACATTTCTTTTTTCATACTATAGTGTTCCATAGTATATATGACCATAATTAACTCTACCTGTACAGGTAAGCATTCAGGGTTTTTTTTTTGTTTGCTTGTTCATTACTACATTAAATGTTATTTTTTTTAATTCTTCTATCACATGTGGAATACAAAAATATTTTTATTGTTGATTAAACTTCATCCTTGGATTTGTTAGAAATTAATGTCATTTTAGTTAGCTAATAATTTATTTTCAAAAAGCTTCTTGTAACAAGTCCTTTGAATAAAAGTAGAAAAAGAGGCCGATCCAGAATTATTTTAACTAAAAGCACTTTTTTTTTTAACCTATGGTAGATAGTCTAGTTAGGTATGTCTTGGGACATGAAAGGTAATTTTTGTGACCACACTCAATATAGGAACTGGTGCCATTGTTGAGATAGTCATTAAAAAATGTCACGTTTTTACAGCTATGATTATTGGCTCTTTTTTATAATATTTTGAATTTTTAGCTCTTCTAATATAAACCAGCTTTACAGTTATTGCATTGGGTAAAAGTACAGGATCTATTTTGAACTATCACCTTTTCCCCCCTACAGCTAAGGGTGGGAAGAATTAAAATACTGGAATTTACATAATTTTCCTAGTGTGTTAAGTGATATATTCTTAGGTGACATTACATTTTACTTATTTTTATTTATGAATCTAAAGTAAATATTTTGAAAGCATTTACGTTGTGTTTCGTTTACACTTGTGTTTTTATGAATAGCTCAGTGTTTGATATTTTAAATCCTTTTTGATTCTAGCTCCACGTTTCATTTTCTGAAAGCAAGCTTATTATGTATTGAATTCTTGTGTGTTTTTTTAATGTTTATTTATTTATTTAGAAAGAGAAAGCATGAGCAGGAATGAAGAGAGAGAGAGAGAGAGAGAGAGAGAATCCCAAGCAGTTTGTTCCCTGTACTTAATAGTCTCTTATGGTTTTCCTCCCTCTCTGTTTTTATCTTATTTTTCCTTCCCATCCTCTATGTTCATCTGTTTTGTTTCTTAAATTCTACATATGGGTGAAATTGTGAGATATTTGTCTTTCTCTGACTGACTTATTTCACTAAATAATACATTCTGGTTCCATCCATGTTGTTACAAATGACAAGATTGCATTCTTTTTGATTGCCAAGTAATATCCATTGAATCTATACACCACTTCTTTTTTAATCCATTCATCTATCAATGGACATTTGGGCTCTTTCCATACTTTGGCTATTGTTGATAGTGCTGCTATGAACATTGGGGTGCATGTGTTCCTTTGAAACATCATTTTTGTGTCCTTTGGATAAATGCAATTGCTAGGTCGTAGAGTGGCTCTATTTTTTATTTTTTTGAGGAACCTCCATACTGTTTTCCAGAGTGGCTGCACCAGTTTGCATTCCCACTTCCCACTAGCAGTGCAAAAGGGTTCCTCTTTCTCTGCATCCTCACCAACATCTCTTATTGCCTGAGTTGTTAATTTTAGATTCTGACAGGTGTGAGATAGTATCTCATTGTGACAGTTTTGATTTGTATTTCCCTGATGATGATGATGTTGAGCACCTTTTCATGTGTCTGTTAGCCATCTGACTGTCTTCTTTGGAAAAGTGTTGATTTATGTCTTCTGCCCATTTCTTCACCTGATTATTTGTTTTTTCGGTGTTGAGTTTGATAAGTTCGTTATAGTTTTTGAATACTAACCCTTTATCCGTTATGTCATTTACAAATATCTTCTCCCATTCAGTTGGTTGCCTTTTAGTTTTGCTGATTGTTTTCTTTGCTCTACAGAAGTCTTTTATCTTTCTGAAGTCCCAATAGTTCATTTTTGCTTTAATTTCTCTTCCCTCTGGAGACATGCTTAGTAAGAAATTGCTTCAGAAGAGGTCAAAGAGGTTGTTGCCAATTTTCTCCTCAAGGATTTTGATGGTTTCCTGTCTTAAATGTAGGTCTTTCATCCACATTGAATTTATTTTATGTATGGTGTAAGAAACTGGTCCAGGTTCATTCTTCTGCATGTTTCTGTCCAGTTTTCCCAATACCATTTATTGAAAAGACTTGTCATTTTTCTCTTGAATATTATTTCCTGCTTTGTCAAAAATTAGTTGGCCATACATTTTTTAGTCTATTTCTGGGTTCTCTGTTTTGTTCCATTGATCTATGTGTCTGTTTTTGTCCCAGTGCCATATTGTCTTGATGATTACAGCTTTGTAATAAAGCTTCAAGTCCGGAATTATGATGCTTCCAGCTTTGGTTTTCTTTTTCAACACTATTTTCGCTATTCGGAGGTCTTTTGTGGTTCCATGCAAATTGTAGAATTCTTTTTTCTAGCTCTGTGGAAAATCCTGGTGTTATTTTGATAGGGATTGCATTGAATGTGTAAATTGCTTTGGGTAGTAGAGACATTTTAACAATATGTGTTCTTCCACTCCTAAGCTTGGAATGTTTTTCCTTTTCTTTGTGTCTTCTTCGGTATCTTACACAAACCTTCTGCAGTTTTTAGTGTACAGATCTTTTACCTCTTTGGTTAGCTTTATTCCTAGGTGTCTTAAGGTTTTTGGTGTAATTGTAAATGGGATTGATTCCTTGATTTCTTTCTGCTGCTTCATTGTTGGTATATAAAAATGCAACGGATTTCTGTACATTGATTTTATATCCTGCAGCTTTGCTGAATTCATGTATCATTTCTAGCAGTTTTTTCATCAGGAGCCATAGAAACCAGAAGGAAATAAAGCAGTACTGAAAGAAAATAGGTGTCAATCCAGATTTATATATCCAGTAAAAATATACTTCTGAAATGAAGAAATCCGTATGTTCTCACATGAAGGAAAACTAAGAAAATTTGTCAGAGGAGACCTACTCTAAAAGAATGGCTCAGGAATTTATCCAAACAAAAGGAAATGATGAAGCAATTATGGAACATTAGGAAAAAACAAAGGAAAGGACAAGATTTAGGGTTAATGTAATAGACTATCTTTTTTAAGTTTTCTAAATTATGTTTGTTAAATTAAAAAAAATATATAACATTGTCCAATGTAACTTCAATATATGTAAAAGAACATTTTAAGAAAATTATATTGTCAATATGGGAGAGTAATAGACATAATGTAAAAGGTTTTACACTTGATTTGAACTGGTAAAATGCCAACCAGTAATGGTGTGATTTTTTTTTTTTAAGAAGTAATGCAAATTTATTTACTTCTACGGTCTATTACATGATAAGCTTGAGATTATTTAGAGTTTGAGTGCAAGATTTGAAACTATCAAAACCATTTGGAGCTGGTTTACATTTGTATTTCAAAAACTATAGTAAGTTTAAAATGTAATAGAAAAACTTTTCTCCATTTTTCATTGTGATTTCTAAGAACCTGATGTAATCAGTAATGATGAACACAGAGGAAAGTTTATTATAATTATATATTTTGATTTTGAGTAGGCTAGTGATATTTTAATATTTTATAACTTTTATTTTTGAACAACTTTATTAAGATATAATTCACATATTATAAAATTCACCAACTTAAAGTTCAGTAGTTTTTACCTTTTCACAGAATTATATAGTCTTCACCAGGATGTAATTTCAGACCATTTTCAGCACTTTATATGAGACCTTATTTCTGTTAGTGGTCATTTTTCACTCCTTGCCCAACTACGTGTTTTCCAGTCCTTGGTAACCATTAATCTACATTATGTCACTATAGTCATAGTGAGTATAGTCATTATGATTACATAATGTTTTCTAGACATT